AAGAAGAAGGATTGCATTTTCACCTTGGAAAAGTGGTGTTACATGAGTCCCTATATGTGCATGACTGAGCAAAGCCACTGTACTCAAAATCTTAAACCAATCCCAAGCCCTGAGTCTACTACTATAACACTAGGGTAAGAATCTGGGGACCTGGGGCCAGGGTCACACCAGGAACTGACCACCTAACTCTCCAAAACATTTAGAAATGTTGCCCACTGCTACCCTAGCCTCATAACTAGGCATGAGGGCTCTTAGAATTGAGCATGAAGGCCCTCCTAAGTTTCATGTTTTGAAAGGTCTTGGGTCTTGAATCTTTCTCTCTCTCTCTCTCTCTCTCTCACACACACACACACACACACACAAACACACACATACAGACACACTTATTAAAGAACACTTGAATGCCTGTGTCACATGGGATCTGGTGCAAGGCCATAGCTGTAAGGTAAGGGAAAGGTACTAGCGCAACAGTGGTAGATATCATAGAGGATCCCCTCTACCTGATCAGGCAACTGTTTATGCCCTCCCATCCTGCTTTGCTTGATCCTCTATATAAAACTTACATCTTGGCTCATGCCTCTAATTCCAGCACTTTGGGAGGCTGAGGCAGGAAATGCCCTTGAGCCCAGGGGTTCGAGACCAGCCTGAGCAACATAGTGGAGCCCCAACTCCACAGAAAATTAAAAAGATTAGTGAGGTATGGTGGTGTGTGCCTATGTTCCTACTACTCAGGTGGCTGAGGTGAGAGGATCACGTGAGCCCAGAAAGTCAAGGCTGCAGTGAGCCATGATCATGCCACCACACTTCACCCTGAGTGACAGAACAAGACCCTGTCTCAAGAAAAGAAACAAAAAAGAAACTTCCATCTCACTGATGGGGCTACTCAACCTTATATCTTGGTGGATCTGACAGAACTCAGCTCATGAAGCAGTTCTGGCTACATGGCCAACAAATGTCCTATAGTCAGGCATTCATCTCCACCAGGATATAATAACATGTCAGGAACTGTTCTTAAAAGATATATATTTTCCATTGATATGACATGGCTTTGCTCCACAACCCTAGCTAAGTTGTGATCTCCCCATAGGGGCTTTCCCATAGGGGTTCTGAAAACTCACATGGCATCTTTTTCCAACACAGATGCATTTAATACCGAGGTAGGAGATCAGCAGGACTTGTTTTCTGAACACTGGTAATGGCCCTGCTGATCAAAAACAAGATGCAGTAGAGACACCAGCAGATGATGACAAAAGCAACCTCTGGTTGTCCTCACTGCTCACTATTAAAGACATTCCAGCCAGTGCCATGACAGTTTACAAATGCCATGGAAGTGTGCCATGGTAATGACCCAGAAGTTGCCTAATATGGTTCCCACCCGTTTCCTAGAAAATTCCCACCCCTTTTCTAGAAAATTCCAAAAACCCACTCCTTTATTAGCATATAATTAAGAGTGGGTATAAATATAGCTAGCCGGCAAAATTGCTGCTCCTGCTCCCTCTGCTGCTCCAGAATGCTACTGTTGCTATATACTGCTGCTGCTGCTCCAGGCTGCTTTGCCTATGAAGCAGCCACTTTGCTGTACACTGCTACTCAGGGATGCTCTGCCTATGAGACATCCTTGGTCTGTCTATGGAGCAGACATTTTGCTATACACTATTGCTCTAATAAACTTGCCTTCTTTCACTGTCAGCTTGCTCTTGTTGAAGCCAAGAACCCTCTCAAGCTAAGCCCCAGTTTTGGAGTTCACCTGAATCAGTATCATAAGGACTGTCTTTTGTATGTCTCAAGTGGCAGAACTGCTTAAAACTGCATCTGCTTTGGGAGGCCAAGGTGGGTGGATGACAAGGTCAAGAGATCGAGACCATCCTGGTCAACATGGTGAAACCCCGTCTCTACTAAAAATACAGAAAATTAGCTGGGCATGGTGGTGTGTGCCTGTAATCCCAGCTACTCAGGAGGCTGAGGCAGGAGAATTGCCTGAACCCAGGAGGTGGAGGTTGCGGTGAGCCAAGATCGCGCCATTGCACTCCAGTCTAGGTAACAAGAGAGAAACTCCATCTCAAAAAAAAAAAAAAAAAACTGCATCTGGACATGCTATGGGGCCTTGTTCTGCTATAGTTCCACTCAAAGCTGGCAGTTTTTGTGTCACCCAGTATATGGGGTGAAACTAATTCTAGGTGTGAAATGTGATATTTCCAGAACCCAAAGAGGCCTACCAGGCATTGCACTTCCAGAAAATTCTCTGTGAGGAAGGTAAAAAAAATACCCTAATTTGTCCTTTCCTTTCAGAGGATATTCTGGCATTCCCCATGCCATTCAACCCCTAAAAATTAAACTTGATGTGGCTAACTCCCTGGATCTTTGTAGGGTTTATCTCCCATTCTCCACAGTGCATCTGTCTTACTAAGGCCTCCAATGTGCTAACCCCTTCTTACTCATTTTGGTCCTATTAGCATGACATCATTGACATGGTAGATTAGTATTATATTCTGAAGAATGTTTAAGTGGTCCACACCTCTTCAGACTATATTATGACAGAGGACATAAGAGTTAGTAGAGTACTGAGGAAAAACTATATATGCATACTGTTATCCATTCTGTGTGAATATGAACTTTCCATTATGATACAGACAGGGAAAAACACATTTTCTAAATCAATAGCCGAAAACTAGGTACTTAAGGCCATGCTTTCTGCTGTAGCAAGGATATCATATCTGGCATGGCATTGCAATTGTCTTAGCACTTGGCTGAGTTTTCAGTAGTCTAGTGTCATCTAGGCTCTGTCCACATTTTGCAGGGGATCAAACTGGTGAATTAAACAAAGATATAACGGAGACTACATCTCTACATTCTCTAGGTCTTCAAAAGCAGCAATAATTTCTGCCATCCTCCACTCCACAGGTGCCATATGTTTTCACTTACTATCTTGGCCAGAGAAGGTAAGGGCAGTTTCAGACACTTCCACTTGGCCTTCTCGCCTACAAATAGCTCTGACTCCACAGGCCAAGGAACTGCTATAGGGCTTGTACCAACTAACCAACTATGTAGATTCCAATTATACATTCAGAGATCAAAAATAGAACCACTGAGTGAGTCTGTGAGCCCAGTGGGCCCACTGTGAACCCTACCTAAGCCAGGATCGCTTTTAATAACTGGCACCCATGTGCCCCCATTCTAATAAGGGGGCAAATTAAGACACTTTAGGTCTCTGGGTGTTACTATCAACTCAGAACCAGTGTCCATCTGTTCTCAAAATGTTTGGGTATTTCTCTTTCCTTGGCACACATTTACTGAATTACCTCAGTAAATGGAAGGACTAAAGAAATCATTACTACACATGTGTTGTAGGGTCCTTCTTCCTGGGTACTCAGCCTTTCCTTCAAACCATGTGTTGTGGACTAAAACCTGACTTGGGACCAGAAGCTGGATAAGATGTTTTATTGAGGTAACCTCCCTCAAACCTGTGACCACCTTTCATTTCTTTTGATTGTATAGAGTGTATATTGTTGGCTGCCTATTTCCCCCCAGGGTATCATGTTGTATTGACTGTCCATGTCCTATTAACTATCTCTTAACTATCTACCCACTAGGGGCACTATGTTCTGTTAACCATCTTCATAGCTCTCTGCAGGTCAGGCCTCCCCATTTGCCACTCTGACCCTGCAGTGCATTATGTTATTTACATCCACGTGACTTCTGACAGTTAAGTGCAGTCATCCTGCCTCTATTGTTTCAGAGGCATCATCATTTCTACCATTGATCCTCATTCCATAAGATCCTCTCCTACTCTGAGCCCTGGCATGCAGAAGAGATCCACTACTGAACTTCTTAGTAATGCTGATGTCCCTCTCACCAGAATATTCCTTATAGCCTTGGTAAATGGTGTGTCCTTTGGGTCCTCCTGCAGAATATAATCTTCTGGAATGTTTTCTGACCTTACATAGCATGTTTATTCTATAAATCCCACCTCACTGAGTCTTAAATCCCTTTTTCCACCATCTTCTACGGCAACTCTGTCATTTACACCTGACTTAATGTAGGCCATGGTTTTTTCCATACTTTGAGGAGCTATCGTAGCAATGAGTTCATGTCATTTCCTGTGGTTTTTGCCAGGGTATTAAACCCTACATTCTGGGAGAGCACTTTCAAATTGATTCATTCTCTCATATTCAATTTTATATTCCAGCCCTGCTGATCAAGCTCTTCAGAATTTAGTGCCATACTTACTCCCTCAGCACCTTCTAGTACATGCTGGCTAGGTTACGTCCTGAAACACTTTGTTGGTGTATTCTCTTTCTTTCCTTGTTATACTCAGCACATCACCAGCTAGATTATGCTATGGCTTAACCCTACTTATAGGTCCAGTGGCCAGGATAGGAGGTGGAGGCAGATTCTGAGGGAAACCTAGGTTATCTTACAAGGGAAAGGATTCCATATATTGGAGCAAGGTGAAGTGCCAGCCCTTAATAGAAGGAGTAAGACACTTCTTGATGGGGCTCAGGGTAACCTGGGGATACAAGATTTTTAGGGACATCAATCCAGATGCCCCTATCCCAAGTATCAGAGTCCCATTCCTTCTTAATCATGGCACTGAATTCAGCATAGAAGACATCTTGGTTAGAATTGTAACTTTCTTTGATTCTTGCTTTTAACAAATCCTGAGTCTACCCCTCAGATTTCTCTACCCCCTACCTGGAAAAGATGAGAGCCTCTTTATATGTTATAAATAAAGCCCTCTGGCTTTCAAACATAACTATCAATTGTTGATTAATTTAATTCAGCTTTTTGTTATTCTTTTTTAGAGCTCAATCAGCTTATCAACAGTCACCCAATTTTCTGGCCAGGCTTATGTTTAATATTTCCTATAATTCTCAAAGGTCTGATACATGGCACCAGTTAATGTGTCCCCTTTAGCCAGTATGCCACCCCAGTTCACCACCATTGAAAGTTTTAACAGTTCCTCTGCCACCTTATTCCAGAAGCCTATCTACTCCACATACCACCAATGATGGAGTCTTCATTGACATCAGAGTAGCAGGTAATTCATGTCCAAAATTTCATCACAGTGTTTGCTTTCTTGAACCACTTCTTATACCAACTGTTGCAGGTTGGCTTCCCGGGAAGCAGACCCAGAGACAGAGTTCAGCATGAAGGGTTTTTACTAGGGAATGCTCTTGGGATCAACACCTGTGGAAGGGAAAAGAAGGAAGCAGGATTGGACAGAGGGAGGAGTTCAGCTGTCCCAATTTGGAGCAGGAAGGCCATATTCATTAGTAATTGGATGTGAAATACCCTCAGGTAGGGGATGTAACCTTGGGGAGGCTTTCTTCAGCTTAGGAAATTCTTGAAGAGGGCTGACAACTGAGGACTGTCTATTTGCTGCATTCCTAGCAATTAAAATAATAAGTTCTTTATTCCTGAAGAGGGATCAGGGCAGCAGATGGTAGAATACACCATGAGCATGATACCATTTTTTTACAGTAAAGTAGGTTGGTGACTATCGAACGCTAATATTGAGAACAGTTTTATTTTAAAACACTTATTGCTTTATAAATAATATTTATAATATTATTAAATATTGTAATATTTATTTAAAATTTTAAATTATGCTTTCCAAATATGTAGACGTAAATACATGAGCCTACATTTATACTTTTGCTCCAGGTCCCTCAAATACTATTGACCAGGCCTGCCTAGCCTGAATCCATTCTTTTCCTTGTTGGTAAATTATGCATAAAATTTCGTTTATTATAAAAAATATCATAAATAGAGATGAGTAAAAAACAAATGAAATCACCCATCAATATAACACTCACAGAAAATTATCAACATTCTCAGAGTATGAGGCAAGATAATTTAGATATATACTTTTTCTTCGTTAAATGTATGGCATGTGCTTTTATAGCCTATCTTTCCCACCTAAGATTATATGCTGAATTTCTAATGTAAGTACAGGTAGATGTCCATCAACATTTTCAATAGCTGTATAATATTTAAATGTGTAGACATACATGAATTTGTTTAGCCGACTGTTTATCTTGAGATGCTTGGGTCATTTACAACTTTTCACCCTTCAAAACAGTTTGAAGATGCACAGCTTTCTACAAGCCAATTATGTGATTATTTCCTAAAGATACATTTCTATAAGTGGAATTAACAGGTCAAAGGATGTGCATATATTCCAACGGACCTTGTGGCAGTGTATACTCTCACCAGCAGATGGAGAGTACTCCTCCCCCCACACCCTCACCCTCACTATGGGGTGGGAGAGAGGTAGACCTTCTATGTGTATCCCAGCAGCACTCTCGATGGTTCCATAAAGGCCCCACCTTAACCAACCTTATAAAGGAAATCTGATACAAGCACTAAAACTTATTCTTTCTTCTAGTATACTTTCTTCTTATCTCAAAGTAGTAACTGTTCACTTACATGGATACCAGAATTGGCCAAGAGGACATTTTTCTGTCAAATGTCCCCAGGACCCTAAAATAAAATTAGTCCTCTTTGTGTGTCTCCAGAATACACCTCAGCACTTTTTGGTTCAAAAGGTCTCTCATTTCCGTCCTCTCCGTACCATTCCTATGACCACCAATAAAATTTCATGCCTGTGTTAGCTCATGCCTGGACTAACTTATGGTAGCTTCCTGTTTTTCCAGTCTCCACATGCTGCACATAAATCTACCATGTTGTTTTCCTTTCATCTTGTCAATCCTCTGGTCACAAAAGACCTTGATGTCTCACAGGAGTGGACGTGGAAATATTCAGACACCCCAGTTTAGCAATTAGGGGTGCTCCACGAACAGGACTCACCTCTACTACCTGACTCTCTCTCTCTCTCTCATCACTACCCTCCCTACACTTTGCACTTCAGGCAGGCCAGCACCTCTCTCTGGAGAAGGATTCCCATCTCCATGCCTTTCTTCCCATGGCTCCTCCCATCTTGAGTGCCCTTCTGACCCTTTCATATCATTGAAGCCCAGCTTACCTAAGGGTCCCCCTCCTTTATAAAACTTCCCTGAGCACTGTTGCCTGCAGCAGTTTCTGCCACCTCTAAACACTGATAGGAGGCAACTGGCCATGTTTGGAAGCTCCCAGTTTTATTATTATCTTTTTGTTTCCATATATCTTGCCTTTCCAAACAGATCATAAACTCAAGGACAAGGACAATGTCTTTTTTCTGCTGCTTAAAACACACAACTTTATTGATGACATAAAAATAAAATCTTAAATGTATAAACATAAGTCCACACAAAGGACCAAAGGTTATCTTACTTATGAAGAATCCGTTCAGTTTCTGCTCATGAAGCATACTAAAAAATCTCAATCCAGACAAGATAAAAATCAACATATGTATTTTCAGTACAAGTTTGAGTTCATTTGGTGTTCGTAAAATGGTCCAGCTATAGACCATCATAGGTAACAACAGTTTCGAAGTTATAATGCAATTTACAATGTGCATTACTTCCAGAGTGTAAAACCAAAATATTACTCAAATTTGTTTGGGAACATACAGCCAATCAGAGTTTACTTATTAATAGCTCAACTCTCTCTTTTACCTCAGGATCATTGCATTCTGCTGCTAAGGCTCGAAGTTTCTTGGCACATGCTTTAGGTCGTTGGAATAGGAAATAAAGGGAATTTTCACTGAACTTGTCCTGGGTAAATGCTTTTGCTCTTCTTTTAAAATGGTAATTTATATTTTCAAATAGTGAAAGAGCATTAAGAATGTTCTCCTTTGTCTCTTTCTTGCTAAATATGTTAATCAGTGATGTCGGTGCATTGGCAATGAGCAAGTCTTTTGTCATAGATGGATTTTTAGAGAAATTCAAAAGCATTCCCAAAACATGGTCTTTAGTTTCACCACTTCCCACAGTTAACAAACGAAGAAATTCTGAAATATAATTTGTAACCATGTGCTGATATTCACTGGTAATAGTTAAATGCCTTATCAATCTTAGTCCAGCCAACTGCACATTTGAATTCAAGGGATAGGTGACAGTGTCTTCACATACTTGGTTTAAGTAAGTTTTAACCTTCCTATGGTTTTCAGCAGCCACTGAGATATTATTCAGTGCATTTAAAGCCTTCTGCCTAACACTAGGGTAGGGATTATTGAGCAAGCTTTCAATAACTGAGATTCCACCTACATTACGGGCAACTTCATGGGAATAAGGATAATCAGCACTGTTATATAAAGCATTATTGGCTATTTCATGAACAGAAGGATCTTCAGTCATCTCAATCATGCAAATGAGTTTTTCAAAGTCTTGTGGATCCATATTATCTTCACGTTTACAGTGGCAAGACCAGGACCGAGTTTTTTCCCCAGTCTTGGTTTGCTTTTTGGACTCATCTTCAACTGGGAAGCTGGCCTCACTGTGGTGTGGAAACTTAGTTTCCGACCAGATAATGGCTCCATCCCATGACCCCATTCCTGCCCCGGGGACCATGGACGGATATGTGCCTCTTGACTCGGGTGACTTTTTGCCTTTACCCTTAGGTGCAGATTTGTCCTCACTTGTGTTTTCATTACCAGCACAGAACCAAGACTCTATATCAACTCCACCCGCAGCCTCAAACTTATCTTTGATCCTGGTGTTATCCCCAGCTCCAGACTCAAAATTGACATCTTTCCCACTCTTAGATCTGAGCTTATTACTGTTCTCACTCTCAGCCCAAAACAAAGACCTTAAACTGATCTCCTCAATATCGGGGCTGGACTCTCTACTTAGATCATCCTCATCCATATCCTGAGCCAAGGTCCAGGACTCTACACCAACCTCCTTCCTAGCCCCAAGCCTAGACTCTATAGTGGTTGCCTCTCCATCCCAGGACCAAGCCCCAGCCCCAGCCTCAGCCCCAAGCCTAGACTCTATAGTGGTTGCATCTCCATCCCAGGACCAAGCCCCAGCCCCAGACTCAGCCCCAGCCCCAGCCTCAGCCACAAACCTAGACTCTATAATGGTTGCATCTCGATCCCAGGACCAAGCCACAGCCCCAGCCTCAGCTCCAAGCCTGTACTCTACAGTGGTTGCATCTCTGTCCCAGGACCAAGCCCCAGCCCCAGCCCCAGCCCCAGCCCCAGCCCCAGGCCCAGCCTCAGTCCCAAGCCTAGACTCTATAGTGGTTGCATCTCCATCACAGGACCAAGCCCCAGCCCCAGCCTCAGCCCCAAGCCTAGACTCTATAATGGTTGCATCTCCATCCCAGGACCAAGCCCCAGCCCCAGCCCCAGCCCCAGCCCCAGCCCCAGCCCCAGCCCCAGCCCCAGCCCCAGCCTCAGCCCCAGCCCCAGCCCTATCCCCAGCCTCAGCCCCAAGCCTACACTCTGTAGTGGTTGCATCTCCATCCCAGGACCAAGCCCCAGCCCCAGCCTCAGCCCCAGCCCCAGCCCCAGCCTCAGCCCCAGCCCCAGCCCCAGCCTCAGCCCCAGCCCCAGCCCTATCCCCAGCCTCAGCCCCAGCCCTATCCCCAGCCTCAGCCCCAAGCCTACACTCTGTAGTGGTTGCATCTCCATCCCAGGACCAAGCCCCAGCCCCAGCCTCAGCTCCAAGCCTAGACTCTATAGTACTTGCATCTCCATCCCAGGACCAAGCCCCAGCCCTAGCCTCAGCCCCAAACGTAGACTCTATAGTGGTTGCATCTCCATCCCAGGACCAAGCCCCAGCCCCAGCCCCAGCCCCAGCCCCAGCCCCAGCCTCAGCCTCAGCCCCAGCCCCAGCCTCAGCCCCAGCCCCAGCCCCAGCCCCAGCCTCAGCCCCAAACGTAGACTCTATAGTGGTTGCATCTCCATCCCAGGACCAAGCCCCAGCCCCAGCTCCAACCCCAGCCTCAGCCTCAGCCCCAGCCCCAGCTCCAACCCCAGCCTCAGCCTCAGCCCCAGTCCCAGCCCCAGCCCCAGCCCCAGCCTCAGCCCCAGCCCCAGCCCCAGCCCCAGCCCCAGCCTCAGCCCCAGCCCCAGGCCCAGCCTCAGCCCCAGTCCCAGCCCCAGCCCCAGCCCCAGCTCCATCCCCAGCCTCATACCCAGCCCCAGCCTCAGACCCAAGCCTAGACTCTATAGTGGTTGTGTCTCCATCCCAGGACCAAGCCCCAGCCCCAGCCTCAGCCCCAGCCTCAGCCCCAGCCTCAGCCCCAGACCCAGACCCAGTCTCAGCCCCAAGCCTAGACTCTATAGTGGTTGTGTCTCC